TTTGGATGTATGTTAAAAATTAGAAGTGATGTTCTGGTTGGTGTGGCTCAGTTGGCTGGACCATCATCCCTAAACCAAAATGTCACTGGTTCAATTCCCAGTCAAGGCACATGCCTAAGTTGCAGGCACGGTCCCCATTGGGGCAAAGACGAGAGACAACCAATTGATGTTTCTCTTCCTCTCTCCCTCCCTTCTCTCTAAAAGTCAATGCACATGTCCTCTGGTGAGGAGAAAAAATAAAATAATTACAGTTGATTACTGAATGAATAGAAATACAGTCTATAACCTTCTAATCAGCAGAGCAAACAGACAAATTATTTTCAATGCAACACGAGGCAGAAAATATTAAAGGAAAAATATACATGTAACTTGGTGTAACAGAAAATCCATAGTAAGATCATAGAAACAGGTCCAGACTTATAATGTAAAATGTGAAAATGTAAAATAGTTAATCTCAAATCTTTAAAGTTGTATTTGTAAGACAGGATAATTTTTTTAAAGATCCAATTATATATAGTTTACAAGAGACATCTAAAAACACATACACACAGAAAATTTAAGAATAAATGATGGGAAAATATTAACAAAAGAAAATTGAGGTTGTAATATTGACAAATAGAATAAAAGATAAAAGTCACATATGGTGATGAAAGGTCACTACTTAATAAAAGGAATAATCCCATCAAGAACTATTAGAAATTAGGATTTTATATACATATAACAACGTAGCTTTCAAATATATAAAGCAAAACTGACAGAATTATAAGAAATTTTTTAAACCAAAATCGTAATGAAAGATTTGACCACCATTTATTAGAAACTGATGGTTTATGGAAACCAAATACCAATAAGGTCATAGAAGATTTGAACAGCACAATTAATGATTGGTTTTGTGTGTTTAGGTTCAGAATTTTGCTTTCAACAGATAAAGAACATGCTTTTCAAGCATGTATAGAACATTCATAAAATTTGACCATGTTCTAAATCACAAAGGAACTTGACTGAACTTTCTGAATTGTCACAGTAAAGACTATATTCTTGACCACAATACAATCAAATTAGAAAACAAAAATAGTGAAAATAAACAAACACATTTTGACTATTGTCAAATAACCTAAATAACTCACAAAATATTGAAAACTGAATGAGAATAAAAGTGTCACTTTCAAGTCTTCTGGGCTGCAGCTAATTTAGGACTTAGATTCTTCTGTTTTAAAAAAAAATAAGAAATGTGTACAAATGCATGACTTGAGTGTTTAAATCAAGAACCTAGAAATAAAGAAGCAATTGAATAAACACAAAGAAGAAGGAAGGAAATGATACAAGTAAGAGTAACATTTTTGAAAGTGAGAAGGGAGAAAACGTGAAAACAACAATGAGTACCTGACACTTTGATGAGACCCCCAACTTGCTAAATACCTGACAAGCTCCAGCAGGAGTAAAAGACTGATAACCAGTAAGGATTCTGCAGTAAGCCAATTCATAGAATAAATGGCAAACCCTAGAAGAAACCCAGCTGACAAGCACAGGACTAGTGTTTCAATAATAGTTAAAGAGGATGAGTAGTCAGTCTATTAGGAAAATGGTCAAAGAATATGAACAACCAATTTATAGTAAAAAAATAAGTTTATAAATCTGACCACAAATATATGAAAAACATGTTAAACTTCAATCATACAAAATCAAAGATACACAAATACCAGTAAGTTAATATCAATTTCTTTACCAGAATGGCAAAAGTTTTAAATTTATAATAATGAGATCTAGTATTGGTAAAGATGTTGGGGAACACATCTAGCAGATATGGACAAAGTATTTATAAAATTTGGTGTTTGTTCATACTCTAATACACATGTTTAAGAAGTATGATCATAAAAACATTAAACAAATCTGAACAAACAAGGTATGGATGGAAACCTCCTTAGCCCAGCACAGAGAAACAGCATAGAATGGTAGTTAAAGAAAAGCAGGAGCCCCATAGACAGACGGCCTGGGTTTGAACCCAGATTTTACTTCTTGGTAGTGGGTGACCTTGGAGAATCACTGAACTTCTCTGTGCCTCAGTTTTCTCATATGTTCAATGAGGACCATAGTAGTACCTACTTACTGGATTATTTCGAGGATTCAATTAGTTAATATTTGTAAAGCACTCGTAACAGTGCCTTGCACATAGTAAGTACTACATACTTTGTTTTTAAAATAAATACGGGTAGGTCAAAAAGTCCATCTAGTTTTTTCCATAAAATAAGATTCATCTTTCATTTTCACCAATAACTTTGTTGATTTGGATATTGAGAATGTCAGCTCTCTCCCATGTGGTATAATATTGATTTTTATCAATTAATGTCTCGATTTGATCACTATCAACTTCAACTGGTCTACCTGACCTTGGAGCATCATCCAGCAAGAAATCTCCAGCACGAAACTTCACAAACCACTTTTGACAAGTTTGATCAGTCACAGCACCTTCTCCATACACTGCACAAATCATTTTTTGCCTTTCAATTGCATTTTTATCTTTCTTGAAATAATAAATCATAATATACTGAAAATGTTGCATATTTTCTTCCATCTTCAATATTAAACTGACTACACAAAACTTCACCAATTTTGATGTTTTTTAAATGCACACTGATATGACGGCTGTCACAAAACAATCTAACAAAATTGTTTTGAATGAAGTTGAAAACAACTAAGCACTACTATGGCTTCCATTGTATGGAAAAAAAACAAAGGAATTTTTTGACCAACCCAACAAATTTCACAAGGAAAATAATTCCTAACAGCCATTAAGTTAATTAGCATACTCTCTTGCTAATGTAAGGTAAAGATAACTAGAAGTTGTAACCTCTGGAATTACGGATTTTGATTAAAGTCTGTTATTGGCCAACTAACTGTCTCTAGTGTAGATTAAAACAGACATTTGTACAATATGTGGCACTGGTGATGCGGAAGTAATAATTGTAGGTGACATGACATAGACTTACATATGTATGGAAACTTTGTGTTTGGTAGAGGTGTCCTGTACATTAGTACCTCAGCAGGGAAGGGATTCCATAAACAGTAGTTATTATCCACAAATGAGAGACACATTTATAATATTCCATACAGAATAGCTGGGAGTAAATTCTACATGGATTAAAATTTAAATGTGAATGCAAAATTTATAACTGAAAATAAAATATAAGGGACTAACATTGTGACCTTGGCAGGCAAAAATTTATTACAATACAAAGGAAACACTTAAAATAACAATACTTCTGACAACTGTAGACTAAAAAGTTTATCTGAAGACCTTCCTCCAATTTAAAAAAAAAATGTGTGATGAGAAGCCACTGACTAGGAACATATTTCTAATGTGTATAATGATGAAGGATTAGCATTCAGAATATATCAAGAACTAGAAGTTATCAAATGAAAGATAAAGCAACAATAAACATGGGCAAATGATTTTAATAAGCAAGTCACAGAAGTGAAAACCTGAATGAATGGGAAATAAAATATGAACAAGTACTTACTTTTAACAGTAATCAGAAAATGAATATAAAACCAGTATCTAAAGCACTACCTATAGATCTATATAATGCAATATATATGTATATACGTGTGTATCCACACACATATGTCTCTCTCAGATTACAAAAGTTAAAAAGTTTGACATTTGAGTTATTTTTGTATATGTTAAATTGGAATTATATTTCTATGATGGTGGAAGTACAAATTGGAAAGAGTGCTTTGGAGAGCAATTTGATAATATCTAATAATCTTAAGATTTTATATATATGTATATATGTGTGTGTTTTGTGTGTGTGTGTGTATATTTTCTCTTGTATCACAGTAATTCCACATAAAAGCAGTTCATTGCAGCATAAAAAGTACTAGTGTCAAAATAGAAATTAGAAATAAGTTGTACACCTGAAACTAATATAATAATGTAGGTCAGCTGTCACTGAAAATAAAAAATGATTAAAAAAAAGAAGCCAGTACCCATTGGAGAGGGGGTAAGTAAATTCTGATATATCCATATAATGGCATTTAATACAACAGTAAAACTGGATGGACCAGAGGCACAGTAATCAATATAAGTAGATCTCATTAACATTGTGAATTGAAAAAATAAATTAAAAATTACATCATTCATAAAAAAATACATGTGCATGAGCAATGCCAAATATTGTTTTAGGTACATGCATACGTTTGTACTAAGACTGTAGAAGCATCGTTGGGAAGTAAGTCACCAGCGTCAGAAGAGTGGTTATCCATGTAGAAACAGTGGGAAAGAGATTGCTTAGGGATAGACATACTGTGAAATTCTATTATGATTATGTTGTTTATTTTTTTAAGAAACGGTTGTGGAGGAAATATGGCAAGATGGTAATACTTGTTAAATCCAGGTGGTAGCATGGATGTTTGTTTCAAAGTATTTAATTTACTGACTCATTTTAAACACTGAAATGAAAAGTGGTTGCCGGTGCTCTGGCTGGGCAGTTCAGTCGGTTAGAATGCCATCCCAATAGGCCAAGTTTGCTAGTTTGATCCGCTATCAGAGTCAACCAATGAATGCATAAATAAGTGGAACAACAAATTGAAGCCTCCCCTTCCCCCCGCACCCCATTTCTGTCTCTCTTTAAAATCAAATAAAAAAAACTTTAAGTGGTTGGTGGGAATAGAGTAACTGGACAAAGTTAGCAATTACATCCTTGAAATTATACTTATTTTTTCTACCCTAATTACAATTCCTCAAAAATGGAAAAACGGGTTGAAACAATGCATCTCATAGTTGACACAATGCAACTGAAATGAATTGGAAGGAAATATTTTTGAGGAGCAAGAATAACAGTTACCCAAGAATAATAGGAAAGTAAATAATAGCAAAGTACATTTTATTTTATGATCAAAGAAATTTAAAATACATACTGGTTACCTAGGTGAGCGGAGAGGAATATGTCTTTAACTTTTAATCAGATACTTACTTTAAAAATTTAAACTTTTCTTGGCAGGTTTAAATCCAGATAAGCATCTTGGAAAATCCCTGGCTGAAATGGAGCCTTATCTCTTAGAGGTAGGAATTTATATTACCTGTTTCTCAAAATATAGTCATCTAAAGGGTGGGAAAAAAGTGTCACATTATGATAATTTTGAAATCAATTTTATTCCAGAAAAATTCAGATACATTCATGACATATTTTTATGAAAACTTAAACTTCTAGTGGGTATGAAAATGTCTAAAATTAATTATAAAAATTATTGCCAGCTTGTAGGCATGATTTAAAAAGTAAGGTGTATCTGAGGAAATTGTCCTGTCAGAAAGTTTATTAAAATGGACATTTTAGGCTATACTCAGAAATGTGAGCAGAAACTTTATTTAGAGAATATCTGATTTAATCTCTTTCATCTATTAGAAAATTAATTTGTAGAATAGTAAAGAAATTATCCCAAGACTTTAACAATTGCTTAGCCCTTATCATTGTCAAACCCTAAATGTGTTCAAACATTAAAGAAAAATTTAGTTATTTCCACTGTTTTCTCTTACCTGTACTATACAAGTGTGGGTAAAAGTAGTATTATAGTTGTGAATATGTGAAACACAGAGCTTACTTTTGCATTAGTATTTATTAATTATTGTATCATTTGTATTACAACTATAAATCTACTTTTGCCCATCCCATATTTTCCTGGAGTTTTGGACAAATGTTATGAATAGTATGTCAGTGTTTCATGAACTAGAGTAGTGTAATTATTAGAGTTTTTTTATTCCACAATCATGATGGAAGAAAGAAAATCACCTTACTTTTATGAAAAAACTGATCTCCTTTAATATTATCATTTTCCCTCCTATACTGTTAATTCATCAGCATAATTTCATGGCTCTGTTGTCAATTGTCAGCAGTTATACTCCACTAAATTTATGGCTTTTACATTTCCTTTGAGTTATTTGTATTTGATTGTTTTGTGGTTTATCAGTATGTACCAAATGCTTAGAAATCCCCCAAATGTTAATGCATTCCTTCTTTCATTATGCATTATTAAGCACCTAATATGTGCCAGGCAAATAGTAAAGATTAAAATAAAAATGAAATGCTTATATAATTATGACAAATTATCTTTGATTTCTAGAAAATTTGGTATCATTTATTTAAGTCTATCTAATGGACATGGTTACCTCCCATGCCCCTGTGATTGCACTGTTCTTACAGCAGTTTGTTCTATGGCCAGCATTGTATTTATGTCTACATCTTTGAACAAGCTCTCGGCAATTCTAAAAGAGTGATCAATACATCATCTTCTGGTTCCTCGATACCAACAACACATTGGCTTCTACAGTGCTACCTACTCCTGAAACCTTTCTGAGTATTTTCTTAGCTTACTTCTGGGGCTCATGATATATATTCCACCCCTCATATGCTGTGGCTCCATCCCTCCACCTCCTGTGGTGATGTTAAATACCCCCATGACTTCAACTACCAATTTTGTTTTTATGACAATTAAGTCTGTTCTTCCTCATCTTCGTATGCTCCAGACCTGTGTGCTCTCAGCTGCCTCTAAATGCTGCAGGACTGAACATTTCTTTCCTGGCAGTGAAGGGTCCCATTGTCTACTCAGTTGTCCAAGCTGAAAAAAGTGAATGGTAATAAGTGACTTCACATATCCATTATTCATGAATAAGGCCCCACATTCTTTTAATTCTCTTCTTAATATCTTATCATCTGTCCCTTTTAATCCCTATTGTCACCACATTAGGGTCTGTGATCTTACAGCTGAAGTCTGCCTCTTCCCTTCCTTATGCCTTTTCATTCCATTGTCCACAGTACTGCTATCATAATGCATGTGAATTGCAAATCTGGTCATATTACATTTTCCTTACAAACTTTTGAATCATTCCCCATTGCCTCAAAATAAATTTTAAACTTCTTAACATGGCACAGCCTGCCCTTGGGAAAAATGAGGCTTGTAATATAGCCAGTCTCAGACATCACTCCTCTTTCATCGGTTTAGAACTGTTGATGGTTTCCGAAGAGTTGGGTGTCCCCTCACGCTTCCATGTTTCTCCTCTTCCTTTCTCTGCTTTGTATTTCCTTCACTTGACTAAGTCCAATCTGTCCTTAAACGCTAAACTTAGAGATTAATACTGTGATGTTTTCATACTTAAGTAAACCTCCTTTGAGCGGCCATTTTCTTCTATGCTAGTTTGTAGCGCTTTGCAGGTTATATTTTATTTTTCTCTTAAATAATGTCTATTTTAAATTTCAGGCATATAATATGTAAAAAATGAACTCAAACCCTATAAATAATGAAAACTATTCTCCTGAATCCAAGCCCCCAGTGTTTCTGCCCTTTCCCAGATCAACCACTCTTGTATCCTATGTAACTTTTCAAAAACATTTTTTGCATATATAAATATATATACATGTGTTTATCCAGTTTTACCTAAATTGGAATATAATATACACATTATTTTCCATCTTCCATTTTAACACATAAAAATTCAGGTCATTTGTCTCCACAATATTATTGTGTTGTATTACATGAATAATATATTGAACCTTTTTATTTATGGACTTCATTCTTTACTGATATATTTTAAATATTTTATTATTACATAAAATGCTAGATGAATATTATTATATCTATGTGTTTGGGCATGAATGAGTTTTTCTGTAGGATAAGATGCTAGAATGGAAATGCTGGGTCAGAGGGTATCTGTGTTTTCAATTTTAATGATATTGAAGATAATCATTTTCAGCTTTGATGGAATAACTTGCATTAGACAAACTCTCTCAATACAAACTAGGAAAGTTGCATGAAATTAAAACAAAAATAATACTGGAAGGCATTAAAGAATTATAAAAACTGACATAATTTGAATTACCAAAGTTCCAGAGAATGAAATCCTTGAACATTGTCTCCTTTCCCCTCAAGGCACTTTCTAATTAAAAAATAATAACCCAGGGATGTGAAGAAGTTGCAGAGAAAACTCCAGCTGAGAAGCTGAGCAGGGCTCCCAACAGCTTAATGTGGCTATGGAGACAATAATGAGGATTCAGGGCAACCAGAGTGGAGCAGACCTGGTTAACTCCAAGTTTTCAGCTGAACTCTTGAATGGGCTCTACCTTAGGAATAAAGGCAGCTGGAAGTAGTCCAGTCCTTGCAAATACTTACATCCAACTCTGAATCATATCAGTTCTAGACTGAATTAAAGAAATCCAATCCTACTCTTATTGTTTATTTCTCTCGAGAAAGATAAAGTGGTTCAGAGCCTCACATTATCTCTAAAATATTTCATATAGTTTTCAGCAGGCAATCAAAAATTACCAAGCTTATCAAGAAACCTAATGAGATAAGTGAAACTGAGAGAAAACCACACAATGGAAACAGTCTCAGAGGATATTTATATAATCCAGTTATCCGATTTAGACTTATCACTTATCCGATTTATAATGTCATTAGGTGGGACTATGAACTATTTTAGGGCTATTTGGAATTTATATAAAAAAGTCAAATAGAATTCTAGAACTTAAAAATACAATACCTGAAATTAAGATCACAATACATGGGTTTACCAGTAGATTTGGTACAGTTGCACAGTCAGTTAAGGAACCGGAAGAGAGGGTGATATAAAATGTTAAGACTGAAGCCCAGAGAATACAGGATGGATGACAGAGAAAAGACTGTACGAGACGGAAGAGAGAAGTCCATCATACGTACCGCTGGAGTGGCAGAGAGAGTGAGCAAAGCGCAAAAGCAGTATTTGAAGAAACTTTACTGTAGAACCTGTCTATGCTTATTTTTGCTAACTTTGACAAGTATCTTCTCAGCATGGTGATAATCTCTCTAAAGATATGGATGAATATTAATGGATAATTTACATTTTTAACATGATTTTTTTCTGATAGAGGAAGTTATATGAAGCAGTCTGAGTGTCTTTTTCTTTGGCTTCATAGTCTAATCTGCATGTCCATGAACCCTGTATGAAGTGAGCACCCAACAGATTTGTACACAGTTAGCAATTTGTTTCTCACCTCTTTCACAGCGGTTATCGGACACAACTAGATTTTAACTCACGCTACCCCAGTTTTTTGCCCTCTTCTTTTTTCCTTTCATTTTTGCATATACTTATAAAGGATAATCAATCGATTGCCTGATGTACCAAGAGAGCAGTGATTCTAATATAAAAGCAAATGAATCATCAAACACTATCTTCTTTCTGCAATTAGAGGATATTTTTTCAACTTATCTTGAATTCTATCTTTTGCATTATTGCCTAAGATGAATCAGATTTTAAGAAATGCCTGTATCTCCTTATCTTTACGAAAATGGTATTAACCTCATTAAGTGAGATAAAAAATCAAACACATATTCATTTTTCAGTTTGCTGACCCAGCTCCCCCAAGTAGTCAAGGAATCAGAAAACAGACAACCTGTGGACTTGTAGGGGCGGTGGGGGTGGGGGGAGATTAGGTAGAGAAACCCATTTTGTTCACCGGCCTCAAATCTCCTGAGCCTCCCTCTCATACACCCCTCATGTAAGATGGGTAACATGACGTTTAATATAATAAATCAATGTAGGTAATGTGTTAATCCTTTCATATATTTTATCTAAGAGTTAAAAGAGTTTTGGTTAAGAGAACTTTTCATGTACAATGATTTCCCTTGCAGAAATGAATTTTTAATTGTGAGAATTACAGAGCCTGGTGGCAGGGGTGGTGGAGAGAAGATAATACCTTAAGGCAGGAGTCCTTTCCATAGTTCGTTCAGACCCCATGGGGTCAGATGCTTGTTACCTCTGTATCCAGGAGCCCAGGTGTAAATACCGACTCTACTGCTTACCTGAAATGTTGCTCTAGTTAGCTTCCCATGTATAAAAAAAAATGATAACAATGTAATGATGTATAAGGTGCTTAGCTCAGTATCTGGCACATTCCAAGTGTTCAGTAAAATGTTTGCAACATTTACTATTATGAGTAAAATTTGCCATTACTGAAGAATAATTATGAAACTTAAATTTTGCAAAATACATAAAAACTGGTAGACAACATAATTAGAATAATATTTAAAAATCTC